AAACTGTTTATTCTTTCTTGATACACATTTTAGAAATACTCAGAATTTCCACAGCCACTTTAAACTTAACAACCTTTGTAACACATGCTCTAAATCACAGTGATTCACACACTTTACTTACGGTGCCAAGTGTTCGATTGACTCAATTATCTCTATCTTCAATCTATCTATCGCTGGCTTCATTTGCCGGGCTTATATACTAAAAAAGAGGGCGCCTAGCAAACACTCGGACATTCGCGAGGTTCCTCGATAAGTCATGATCCTTCTAGAAACTCCAGCGTGCATGCTCCCAGTGATGCGTGACTTCCGCTGTCGTAACAATATGGTTTGTGCATAAGCGTGTATATGCACGCACAAAGTCATAATCAATGACGCATACAAAGACATAGAAATCAAAATCTTCCATTTATTCTCTTTCAGTGAACTGTACCAAGCCGATAGATGAGTTCATTTACATCTAGTTTTCTATGAGTGACGGAGGATCACTATTTTGAAGTGGCTGATGTTATGGTCATGGTCATTGAAATGTTTAGCCACAAGTTTGTCTGAATCATAGTTCTGGATGTTACGAGTGTGTTTGTGTGTTTGTTCAAACAACTTTCGACCTGTTTCTCTTAAATATAACTTTCCACAATTGAAACAAGTAATGCAATAAACTAAATACTTGGATGTACAGGTGAACAGTTGTTTGGTTGTGTAAATGGAGTTGGGCCCAAGTATCGAAGAACGAGTATGTCATAGAAGTATGCATGCGCTTGAGCCTGACCCGTGGGCATTGGTCCGACCATACTCCTGACGGGTAACAATAAAAAAAGATCCAGGCTTGGATGAGGTGACCTTTGTCAAACTTACTTGCAAAAATTCGGACTTCCTCGGGCTTTTTGTTCGATTCTTTCAACTTTTTAAAATTTGCTTTAAAAGTATTTTCAAACATATTTCTTGAAAAACAGTAACCTACACACATAGCTTCGGCCAAAAAATACTTATTTGGCAATTTATATCAACTGTTAGAATTGGTCATATCAAATAACGACTATAATATTGAGAAATACACATTATAGTATTATTAGCATTTGTATTGTTACTTCCTTCTTCTTTGCCTTGTCAAGTTGGAACATAAAAACAGGCCATCTTGATCTCCCCACGGTCAGCCGATTCCACCGATCTTATGAGAAATATTTCGTTTAAGGTTAGAGCCCAAGTCAGGTTTGGTCTGAAGAAAATCGAGTATCGGACAAGATATTATATATAACAGTCGGGCCGGGTCGGGTAAATAAAATTTCGGTCCATGCAGACCTCTAGCGTGAACATGCCCAACAACGCCTACCGTATTGACAATGAATTTTTTTTTCTGGTATGTTCAACCGTGCTTAAAGCAATGTAGCTTTTTGGTATTTTCCGCGTCGATAATTTGGTTTGTTTACAAATGTATCCTCTAAAGTTTAGTAGTCTTGAAATATTACGATGTTGTTTTTAATTTTATCACAAACCTCTATGTTTTGCAGATGAGGTTTCAATATCAAAAGTACTTTATTTTTGCAATTATTATAATTTTGTCTTTCGTTGTAGTGTGGTATTACCATGGGGGTCCGCAGAAATTCTCCAGGGGGGAAGAGGTAGTGTGAAATTGTAAATTGAATAAAAAATTAATATACATATGCTGAATTAATAAAGAATTAATTATGTTTCTCATTTTCCGGGGGGGGGGGCAAGTGCCCTCTTGCCGTTCCCCCATCCCCGCAGAGGCCCATGGGTATTGTTACGACAGCGGAAGCCACGTGACGCTGCTGGCGCGTTTGGCGCTGGTAGCGTACGTGAAATTTCTCGAATGTGTTCGGGACGCCCCCTTCGTTGGTATATAAGCCTGGCAGGGAAGCCAGCGATAGACAAGTAATTAGAGAAGCGAACAGTAGTGACGGTAATATAAAGTGTGTGTTTGTAATCGCAGAGAAAAAAGTTATTGAGATTGTGAATCGCTGTGATTTATAGCGTGTATTATAAAAGTTGTTAGGTTTAAAGTGACGAGAAACGTATTGACAGTGGAATTACTGTGTACTAAAAGTTTGTATCGAGAAATAATAAACTAATTTAATCAAGAAAGGATTTGTATCGCTGAAGTTCCTCGAAAAGAATTTCTACCGGAAAGATGGAAACGAGAAGTGGCAAATCAAACTACGACTTAGCAGATTTGATGGCAGCAACACAAGAATAGCAAAAGAAACAAGAAGAACGAGAAAATAAAGAAGAAAAGAGACTACAGCAGTGGTTGGAGGAGAAAGAAAATAAACAAGAAGAGAGATTACAGCAGTTGTTGGAGGAAAAAGAAAAGCAACATGAAGAGAGAAAACAGCAGTGGCAAAAAACCTGCAATAGTGACAGCTCGAACAGCAAAATAAACAAAAAAGATTACAGCAGTTGTTGGAGGAAAAAAAGGAAATAAGAAGAACGAGAAAATAAACAAGAAGAAAGAGTACAGCGGTGGCAAGACAACCAGCACCAGTGGCAACTGGAACAAGAAAAGAAACAGGAAGAAAGTCTCCAACAGGTGAGAGAAAGCCAACATACACAAATTGAAAATATTAGTAAATTTCAAAGTGAATTAAATACGCTAAAGGACGATTTACTGCCTTTTACACAAAGAGGATATATTAACCATGGATCTAACCAGCCCCAGAAAACAGAAAGCCCCTTCCAGACTCTGCAGCTAAACCCTAATGCAG